TCGGTTTAAACTAGTTATATTAATTTCAGAAAATTATTAAAACTTTGAAATTTAATATAAAATAAACCATACCTCGGATGAAAATACTTTGTACATGAAAGTTGCTTAGAACGACGAAACGAATCCGGATACGCAGCCCCTTCGTCCGCCACACATCCCTAGCATAGCGAACACGCAACTTTTACTCTCTGATTCATCTGTCCGAAAACGCGAAACACCGAGGATATTTTCCCGGATGTTTTCCTCACTTCACCGGTATCACCTACTACTGCGTTAGGTCACCCATAACACCGCGTATTGCCATGTTATGCTTTGTGATGCTTTTATTGCTCTGTTATTTATTGTGTTCCCCCTCCGTTATTTCTTTCCGTTAAACCCTGAGACCGCGGTTGAACCTGTGATCGACTACTTCACCTTCGAGGGTCCGTTTCTGTCTGCAGAGCAACCAGGCAAGCCCCCCGCCCTTGATCACAGATATCGCCTACTCTTCTCTATACTGCTTGCATTAGAGTAGTGTAGCATGTTACTGCTTCTGTTAATCCTATCCTGATGCATAGCCTGTCTTTGCTACTACTGTTGTTACCTTTACCTACAATCCTAATGCTTAGTATAGGATGCTAGTTTATCATCAGTGGCCCTACATTCTTGTCTGTCTGCCATGCTATACTATCGGGCCGTGATCACTCGGGAGGTGATCACGGGTATATACTTATACATATATACACGCTATACAGGTGGTGATTAAAGTCGGGTCGGCTCGTAGGAGTACCCGCGAGTGATTCCGATGTTGGGGGCTGAAGGGGCAGGTGGCTCCATCCCGGTAGAGGTGGGCCTAAGTTCCCGAAGGTCCCCGACTGTTACTTTGTGGCAAAGCGACATGGCAGGTTGAGACCACCTAGGAGAGAGATGGGCCTGGCCCTGGTCGACGTCCGTGGTTATATCAAAATAACACGCTTAATGAGATCTTGGTATTTGGTCTGAGTCTGGCTACTGGCCTATGCGCACTAACCATCTACGTGGGGACAGTTATGGGCACTAGACGTCGTGGTATCAGCCGAAGCCTTTGTGACGTCAGCGACTGAGCGGCGCGTGCCGGGTTGGACCGCGTAACGCAACTTCCTTTGTAATGGAGGTTGCTAGGTCTGCTCTCCGGCCGCGTACGCAACGTGCAGGTGTGCAATGGGCGATGGGCCCAGACCCCTGCGCCATAGGATTTAGACCGACATGCTGACCTCTCTGTTGTGCCTAGGTAGGGCTGCGACGTGTTGATCTTCCGAGGCCGGGCATGACCCAGAAAAGTGTGTCCAGACAAAGGGGATCGAGCGTGTTGGGAAATATGGTGCATCCCTGCAGGGAAGTTGATCTATTCGAATAGCCGTGTCCCTCGGTAAAAGGACGACCCAGAGTTGTACCTTGACCTTATGACAACTAGAACCGGATACTTAATAAAACACACCCTTCCAAGTGCCAGATACAACCGGTGATCGCTCTCTCACAGGGCGACGAAGGGAGGATCATCGGTTAGGATTATGCTACACGATGCTACTTGGTGAACTTACCATCTACTCTCTTCTCCTGTTGCAAGATGGACGTTACCAGAAGCGTAGTCTTCGAAATGACTAGCTATCCCCCTCTTATTCCGGCATTCTGCAGTTCAGTCCACATATGATACTATTAATCCATTTGATACCAATGCATACATATGTAGTGTAGCTCCTTGCTTGCGAGTACTTTGGATGAGTACTCACGGTTGCTTTGCTCCCTCTTCTCCCCTTTTCTATACTCGATTGCTGCGACCAGACGATGGAGCCCAGGAGCCAGACGCCACTGTCGATGACGACTACTACTACTCGGGAGGTGCCTACTACTACGTGCAGCCCGCTGGCGACAACCAGGAGTAGTTTAGGAGGATCCCAGGCAGGAGGCATGCGCCTCTTTCGATCTGTATCCCAGTTTGTGCTAGCCTTCTTAAGGCAAACTTGTTTAACTTATGTCTGTACTCAGATATTGTTGCTTCCGCTGACTCGTCTATGATCGAGCTCTTGTATTCGAGCCCTCGAGGCCCCTGGCTTGTAATATGATGCTTGTATGACTTATTTTATTTGTAGAGTTGTGTTGTGATATCTTCCCGCGAGTCCCTGATCTTGATCGTACACGTTTGCGTGTATGATTAGTGTATGATTGAATCGGGGGCATCACAGTGGGGCACGGCTTGGGCGCGGTGTGCACGCATCAGGGCGCGCCGGAGCGGGCCAGCGGCGCGGTGGTGATGTCGGGTCGCCTTGGAGCAAGTGGGGGGAAGAGGAAAGGCGGAGGCCGAGGCTCACGGCGGCTCGTAGGGCAATGATAGCGGTTGTCGAGGAGGGGGACGAGGGCGGCGTGACGTAGGGGAGGACGACGGTGTGGCGGTCCGGCGAGGAGGCGTGGTCGAGGCAGTGAGGCGACGACGACGACATCGGGCGGTGGCGTCGTCGGGGCGCCGCGGCGAGGCAGCCAGATCGGGAGGGAGAGGAGGCGAGGAGGACGACAGTGGGGCGGCGCCGACGAGGGGTGGCCAGAGGCGCCGGGCGGTGGTGGAGTGGCAAAGGGTTCGGGAGAGGTTAGGGTTCGAGAGTGGGGTGGGGTGGATAAGGAGGCCCGGCTGGGCCTGGTGGGCCGGCCGGTGCGGCGGCCAGCTGGGCCATTCGGCCCAGCGTGGGGGGGGGGGTGTTTCTCTTTTTCTTTTTTATAAATCTTTTTCGTTTAACATTTTTAGCCCCAGTTTTGCATTTCCTTTTAGTACCAAATAAGTTTTATTTTGAATAAAACTTGGCACATAATTCTAACACGATATAATGAGATGGAAACAAAAATTATGGAGTGAAAAGGAGATGTCTAACCATTTAGAGAAAATGAAAAGGCCAATTTTAAAAGCTGCTGGACCACTAAATAATTTCCAGGGGCACTTTGGGAATCCAAAAGAGGTTGTTTCCAACATGACAAATATCTAGGGATTATTTGCCACACCTTGAACATTTTTAATTTGAAGTTTGACAAATTTGAATTTTGACTTTAGATTGGATTTGGATTTGAATTTGAATGGTGATTTAGATCAAGTGAAGGTTAGCAACAGTAACATGATGACATGACACCATTAACAGTGGATTACTGTAGCGTGACACTGGGGGTGTTACACTAGGTCAGGCCTATGACCCTACCCTAGGTACATGTCGCCGTCAATATATATTATTCAAATTTATGATTTGAGTGCCATTTGACCCTTCAAGTTGATTCGTGGAAGAAATATATTCAGCGGATTAGGGAGAATCAGAGAAGGTACTACTCTCATAGCATATGCCTGCATTTTTGCCATCATGATTTGCAAATATTTATATAGTAAAATGGTCAATATTTATAAATGATGATCAATATTGCTTCTTTGTTGTTGCAATATGCCCATTGATAATTGATCGATGGGACACAATTTAGACATAGATATTATTCAAATACACGAGTTTGGGTTTTTTATGTTAAGAGGCCCCGATTCTAGTTTCGCCCCGGGCCCCGAAATGTTAGGACCAGCCCTGAAACTATGTGAAGTCCATTATAGACATAGTTTTTTTCGCAATAGCTAAACGCAAGTCGCTTGAAAATAGAACTTAGGTCAGCTGATTTTCGTAGAAAGGAGGCAAGCGCCACTCGCTGGAGAAACTACCCCATGATCTATCTTAGGGTGGCAGGGTGCCCCATGATCTATCTTAGGGGTGTTGGGGGTGGGTGTGCAGT